AGTTCAGTTGCACATTTTCAAGTCATTGGCAGTCTTTTACAAGTTCTTTTGTTTAGTTCACTTTTTAGCAACTGTTCTCTCTGCAAAACATGTTTCTGATGATTCAGTAAAAGATATTAAAATCAGGAAGTTTCAAAAATATTCTCAAACTGCAAAACTAACGTAGTGATAAGTTTTCAGTAAAAATCAATAATAGTAGTATTTGACTTTAAATGACTAGCTGGAATTAAGGGCCTTTATCTACCAATTGATATATCTGGGTTGTGTAGAAACACCTTGCACAAAGCCTTAACACTAGACCTAGCCCAAGAAGGCAGCAGTCAAAATCTTGACAAGTTTTAACAAATCTTGAGATAGACAGTAGCTGATTGGATGTCAAAAGCTATATCCTAACTCCTGCCACCAATGCAAAAGGCTCCCAGGAGTATTTGGGAATGAAATAGTGGCTGTAGCGTGAGCCGAGTGAACACATGCAATTATTTCTGATGCCTTTTTGGTAGGCAAATGAAATAATAAACCATTGCACCCATTGATTGGCCCAGCAAGTGAAGGAACAGCAACGCATTTACAATGTAACACAGGGTATTTTTTGGAGGTGAACTAGTAGGCATGAGAACTTGTATTAGATAGTTACCAATGTTGACCAAAAAATTCCATTAAAACCCATGTACTTTAAAGTGAACAGCACCACAAACTGGCCTGATTACTGCTGTCAATTTGGTACACAACCATAGAATGATTACACAGCAGAAAAATATGCAATAAAACCAAAAGAACTGCGGATACTGTAAATCAGGAACAAAAATAGAAGTTGCTGGAAAAGCTCAGCAGGTCTGGCAGCATCCGTAAAGAAAAGAACAGAGTTAATGTTTCAGACGCAAAATGTTGACTGATTTTTTTTCCTTCACAGATGCTGCCATACCTGCTGAGCTTTTCCAGCAACTTCTATTTTTGTTCTTGAGAAGAATAAGCAGCCAGTTCAGGTAGAGAAATTCTGATAATCCCCTGGGCCCAACCTTTACCCATGGTCCTCAAATGTTTTCCTCTACAGGTGGTTATTCAATTTCATTTGAAAGCCCCAATTACATTGTGGTTTGAACCAAAACTTTATTGTTGTTTTAAATTGTGGATTCTTGTGCCTTCCACCCCTCCCAAACCCCCCTTGCTCTGCCCCAGTCAAATTCTATTTTATAGCCACCCCAATTTCGTGCTGAGATAAAATAGTGAGATCATGTGGTAGAGAAAAGAATGAAACACAAGACCCAAAAGTATTTCTAGAGTTAGACTATGACTAAAAGGACACAAACTTTTAAAAACATATTCTGGATGAAGCACTATAGTATCCAGCTGCAGAAACAGCAAGGCAACATTACTCAATCATGGTACATGCAAGTAGAAAGATTTTGTAATGGGATTTGACATTGGTGTAAGGAGGATGGAAGGGCATTTCAATCTGCCAAAATGTTGTATACATTTCAAGAGTCATGACATGCATAACTAGGAATAATTTGCTCAATTAACAAAAAAAAAAAAAAAATACCATTTAGTCCTGGCTGAAAATGTATCTTTGGACCAGAATTCATCACAGAGTTTGTAAAACAGCTGTCAACATATTTGAGTAAATGTCAGGATTAAGAGGGCAGAGGACACACAACCATATTTTAGGGACGTTTTAATGAAAGATCAACCTTCGGGGAATAAAAGGCCATCAAGTTGAGGGGGTTACATTAGTGGTAACAGAATACAGTTTATTTTCAATTAATACACTATCCATTTCATCACAATTTCATTATCCATGAACCTGCAAAACTAGCTAGTTTTCAAAAGTTGTAACTTTTGAGGTACAGGTTAGATCAGAATGTTGTCTTGGGAGGAAAAAAAAAATTCACACCTGGAGTGAAAAGATAATCTTCCAATCCAAAATTGTCTCCCTATTCTGCTAAATTAGGGTCCTGTGTTGCAAACAATGTTTGAAGTTTTCAGAGGTAAGTGCAGTAGCACAAAAAAAAGCACAAAGATTCAGATTCCCTGATCTGAAGGATGCACATATTATCACAGGGGAAATGCTAATGCAAAATAAAAAAAAAAGCAATACAGAAGTAGTGTGAAACTTTATACCTGACCAACCTCTATTCTGAACACTGGTACAAATTAAAAACAAATAGAAGGTCGGCACTGAGATCATAGAGATTCATCAGTACTCCATGAAGTGTCCCAACAGTAAGATCAGAAAATGTAGTAACAGAAATAGGCCATTCAGCCCAGAACTGTTTGGGCAAATAAATAGAACCTTCATCGGTCATCTTTCAAGCACAAAATTTCAATTTATAAACACAAACTCACCAAAAACTTGTTTACAATAACATTCACTAAAGCTGCCAGCACCATAAACAGGACTTATTTTTTACATTTAGACTAGATGTATGAGAATTGTCAAAACTCCATACCTCGATGCCAGATTTAAAATTTGCATTGGAGAGTAGTGACAATAGCAGGGCTGCAGCTAGTTGAACAATGCACTGCTCAAAGTGATTTTATAAAGGAGGACCATTCCAAGTGCAGAGCATATAATAAACCAAGCTGTCAAAAAACCCATCCATTATCCACCCTATATGTTTGTATGAACAGCTGTCATGTACTTTGGGAGCAAGTGTGGATTACAAATGCCTCATCTGACGGAAGCAATCATCTCCATTTAAGCATCAAGAAAAAAAAAATCAATTTTAACGCATCTGCTAAAATTGAAGATCTTTGTAACAATTTCTTCCTTGATACAACACAGCAAGTCAAAATTCTAACCAATGACTCGAAACGTATAACTAGTTTTTCGTCAAAATATAGCAAAAAAGAAACCGTTAAGGAAACTTAATAGCAACAGATAAATAATAAACAGCACAGTAGCTGCTTGTGTGCAAAGTGAAGACTGGCCTATTATGATGCATGCTCCCAAGTAAAAGTGATGCCTATCTTTGACTATGTTTGAATTCTTACTCCCTGTCACTTTGTCCTATCATTGAGCAATCAGTCATCTAGATCTCATTGGGTAATTCCCTCCTGGAGTTCACCCTCTTCTACTAAACGTCAAGCTTTGGTAGAAGTGGTAATACCTTCCATGTCTCTCTCAGGGTTAGTATCTTCCTTTTAACAATCTAAAGCATCTCAGGATGGTTTCTACATGAATGGCAGCAGACAGGCTTTACTGCTATGATTAAATAAATGCATTATTACAGGCCTACATTGCCAAAATATAATGTCTCAAAGTACAATAAACTATGTAGAGAAAAAAAATCTGCTCTCATTATTTTCATAATAGCTTTTCCATTCAAGATGTCCAAGCACTTTACACTCACTGGATGCAGCCAATTTTCACATGGCAAGGTAGGTAAAACATCAGAGATTAGTAACTAGGTGGTCTGTTTTTTTTAAAGTTGTTAAGATAGTTCAATAAGACTTTAGGAAACCTCCATGCTGCTGTTCAAAGTGATCCACTACAAACCTGAGCTTGCAAAGGGCCTTATCCAAAGTCAGATTCAGCAACATTATACTCCTTCAGTAGGAGCAAATTACTGCAGATGCTGAAATCTGAATTGAAAACAAAAGAAAAGTGCTGGAGCTTACAGAGGGTCAGGCAGCATCTACAGAGAGAAATCAAGCTAACGTATTGACTTTAGATGACACTTCTGAGTACTCCTTCGGCATTGTACTGAACTACAGTATAGATTACACAATCCAAATTTCTGTCAGATTTGAGTTCACCACCTGATTCAAGGCAAGTGTGTTTGAACTGATATTTTAACTAGCAAATCCAGCAATTTCCCACACAAAGCAGCAAAGCAACATGGGAGAAGTGGGACAGTAAAAGCAGGAACAATTGAAAGAATACCAGCCACATCACCAGAACTCCACCATCATTTGAATTAAGACATTTGTATTTACAAAGCATCTTCCATAATCACCCTAAAAATCCATAAAGTATCCTAATTTATAAACAGTTAAGTATAGGCATTATTGTGCAGGAATGTAGAAGCAAATTACTGCAGATGCTGGAATCTGTACTCAAAAACGATCACAACGGATCAGGCAGCGTCCGTGTAGAGAGAGCAAGCTAACATTGAGTCTAGATGACTCTCTCCATGGATGCTGCCTGATCTGCTGTGATCTCCAGCACTTTTTGTTTTCAATGTACAGGAATCATTGCAATCAGTTCGTAGGCATGTATACCTCAGCTATAAAAAAATGGCAAGATAATGTACTGGTTAAGGAATAACTATTGTTCAGGAAACATCATGGTATCTTTAACTGTGGCTCACATTGTTTTGGAATGATGTGCCCTGATAATATCACTAACACAGTCTTCCTCAAATAAAAAGATACAAGCAATTCTGTGTGCTCTTTAGTCGGAGAAAGATTAGTTGGTGAATGCTTCCCTCCAACTAAGGGCTCCTTTAATTGCAGAACACGGGGGGGGAGGGGGGAGAAAGAGCAGGATGAGAGCGCGAATGGCGGGGGGGGGGGAAGTGAGATGATATCGGGGCAGAGTGGGGATACAAGAGGACGTGACAGGTGCTGGGGGAGGAAAGGGGCTTTCCCCTCCCCCTGCCATTTCTACAGATGCTTCGACCAAGCCCGGTGGGGTGGGGGTTGCGCGACCCAACATGGTCTAAGTTACCGGCACACGGGCCTCCCGGAGCGCGATGGGAGTGGAAGCCGTGCTAAAGAACTGGGACACCGGGAGGTGGGGGGCGGTGGGAATGGAGGCTGTAGGCGGCTCTGATTGAAGCCGGGGGTGGGGGGACCGTGCCAGTAACTCGGCATGAGCGCCGACAGAGAGAAAGAGAGAGAGGACCAGAGAGCCTGAGTTAGAAGAATGGGCCGAATACCGGTAATTGAAGGGAAGGTGGAGGGCGCTAACAACAACGAACAGGGTCTGATCCGGGGCCGGGGAATGTTGAGGCACAACCTTCCCCGCCCCGGAGCTAACGGCTACCCCCGACACTCACCTTCCAACAACCTCTGAATAATACTATCTATATTCAGCTTGTCTATATCCGCCATGGCTCACGGTAGTGATTCCGGAGAGGGGAGTGGGGGAGTTGGGGAGGGTGACGAGTAGATATGTCGCCTCTATGCCTCTCAGTCTCTGGCCGCTCCTTCCCTCGTTCTCCGCTTCTTTTCTCCTCCCGAGCTCTCTCTCTTTTTTAAAAAAAATCCACACAAAAAAATGGCGTCACCGCCTGGCGGAGGGATACCCGCGCCGCGTCCCGTACTATTTATCCGGCTCCTGACACGTTACCCCCCCCTCTATGTGTACCCACTACCTCGTACATGCGCGCCACACGTGCTCCTTCCAACCAAGTCCCGCTTTGTCTCTTCGCATTCGCCGCCCCCTGCAGTTTAAGCGCACTCCGCTGCCGCTTACTACAAATTCAATGCACATTATGTCGTTTTTCTATATATTAATTGCATCGGGTTACTTTTCACAGTTCTCTCAGCGAAGCAAAAGAATACTGAAAGATCGGGGGTGGGCTTCCGAGCTGCACGCCTCTCCCTGGAACTGACACATTACGATCAGCAATGTTCCCAAACAAACTCTTACCTGAGTGTAAAGCGAAAAATCAGACTTGAGGGAATACAATGACACATTGTTGATGACATGGTATGACATGCCTGTCCTTACAAGGCTGGGAAACGTCATCAGGATTAAACGCCCCAGTAAATCCCTTTTTGCATTGACCAGAATCACACTGGGCCGCTTTTAACTATGCAGCTGAATGAATGTTGAGTGAGTTTCAGCTCTGTCCTCTTTGAATTCCTAAAAACGGAGGTCGTTCTACTATGGCGCCCGTGCTGATTGTGTGAAAGAGCTTCCAATTAGTTCCACCCCCATTCCTGCTAAGCCTGCAGCAAGTTCAAGTATTTATCTTAAAAAAAAGCTCTGCTTCTACCGTCCTTTAAGGCAAATGCATTCCAGATCGTAACAAAATGTTGCATAAAAAATAAACTTATCTTAATGTATTTGTTTTGTCAATTACCTTAATGTTCTCTAGTTACCAATCCTTCTGTAACTGGAAACGGTTTGTCCTTGGTCTATCATAAACCTTGCTGATTTTGAATTCTACCAAATCTTCCCAGAATCTACACAGCTCTAAGGAGAATAACCCCAGTTTCTGTAGCCATAGTATAGAGAGGTCTCACATCCCTGCTACCAATCTAGTAAATCTGTTCTGCTAGCTCGTTAAGAGTATAATATCATTCTTAAAAGGTATCCCTAGAACTGAACACAATATTCCAGTTGGGGCCAAACCAGTATTTTATATAAAACAGCCTCCACTTTTACAACACAGTATGGAGTTGGAAAAACATAGCAGGCCAGGCAGCATCAGAGGAGCAGGAGAGTTGGTGTTTTGGTTCGCAACCCTTTCCTGCTCCTATGATGCTGCCTGGCCTGCTGTGTTCTTCCAGCTCCATACTGTGTTATCTCTAACTCCAGCATCTGCAGTACTTGCTATTGCTTACTTTTGTATTCTATTCCCTCCACTTATAAAGCTAAGCAGTCCACATATTTCTTTAACAGCCACCTCAACTTGTCAAAGTTATGTGAACATACTCTCACAGGTTCCCATATACTCACATCCCTGTTAAAACTGTACCATTTTGTTTATGTGGTATTCTTATCCTTTGTACCAAAATCAATCATTTCACGTTTCTATATGTTAAATTTTATCTGCCAGGAGGCTGCCCATTTCATCAGTCTATATTCTCCTGTTGTCTGCTTCTGCTTCCTTGGCTGTTTACTCCTTTTCTAAGTTTGTGTCTTCTGAGAGTTATTTGCCTGTCTGTGCATGCAAAGACATGCTGTCTTCTCAGTGCTAGCTGCCAGTGAGCTATGAAATGCAAATCTTCACTTCCAAGCGATCTGTATCAGTGAGGTATTACGGTAGCTGTGACAGATTGGCAGACACCAGGTATCAATGTCTGTAGAAGAAGAGTGCATGCAGCTGGTGCCCATGGATCATTCCCAGAGATGTTGTTGTCCAGTGCCCATCATGTAGGTTGTTTGGAGCAAGTGCCCACTCTGGTTTCCTTGTCGAGTTTTCCCAGTATTGAGATTATTTGGTGAGTTTGGTAAAATGAGAACCTGAACATTAATGAGGCACATTGTAGTGTAAACAAGGCATTTTATTATCAGTAATGACCATCAATTGGCAACTTGCAGCTGCCTAGTAAGAATTTTACCACACCACTTGTGAAAAGCATAAAAGATGGAGCAAGATGATCTCAACATCAAGACTTGTTGCCCAATTTTGCCATGCATTTCTCCATAGCCCATGTCACTCAACCCCCATATGATTCCACTCTATATGTTTTAATCTAGCTCCTTTCAAACCTGAAGATCCTGATTGATTGATTTACTGTCACATGTACCGAAGTACAGTGAAAAGCTTATTTTTCGAGCAGTACAGGTAGATCATAGCAAGCAAAGATGTACAGATCAAATGATTTAGACAGAGGCATACAGGTTACATTACACAGGGCATGCACCAGGCGAGATCAACATTAGCACGATCAGAATTATTTGAGGCTAGAGAATCCATTCATTACTTTAATAATGACCTGGAAGAAGCTGTTCCTGAACATGCTGGTGCATGTCATCAGGCTTCTGTGTCTTCTGCTTGATGGAAGAAGTTGTAGGAGATCATTACCGTGTCTTTAATGATGTTGGCCGCCTTTCCATGGCAGTGAGCCATGGTGGTGTCGTGGATGGAAGATTGGCTTCCATGATGGTTAGGGCTGTGCACTCCACCTTCTGCAGTTTCTTACGGTCCTGGGCAGAGCAGTTGCTGTACCAGGCCGATATGCACCCAGGCAGCATGCTTTCAACAGTACATCTGTTGAAATTGATGAGGGTCCTTATGGACATGCCAAATTTCAAGAGCCGCCTGAGGTAGAAGAGATGTTGTTGTGCCTTCTTCTCTGTCACATCTATGTGGGAAGTCTAGCACAGATTGTCGGTTATCATCACTCCAGGGAACTTGACACTTTCCACCCTCTCAACTTCAGTTCCGTTGATGTAGATGGGGGTGCGTTCTCCTCCTTTCTTTCTGAAGTCAATGATCAGTTCTTTAACAGAAACAAAGTTGCTGGAAAAGCTCAGCAGGTTTGGCAGCATCTGTGAAGTAGAAAACAGAGTTAACGTTTTGGGTGCAGTGACCCTTCCTCGGAACTGATGGTGGCTGGGAAAATATCAGTTTATATGCAGAAAATAGGGAGGTGGGTGGGGTAGGGAGTAAACGATAGGATAGAGCCCAAAGAGAGAGAAAGACAGTTGGATAGACAAAGGAGTTGCTAACAATCAGACTGGGAGGGTGAATAGTTGTTAATGGGGACTGTTAGTGACTAACAACAGGGGGTGTGTAATGGCAGGCTATGTGGTAACAAGGTCTGGTGTGTGGCCTGGGGGGCTGGGACATGGGAGAGCTTTGGCCCTAAAATTATTGAACTCAATATTGAGTCCAGAGGGCTGTAGGGTCCCCAAGCGGAAAATGAGGTGTTGTTCCTCCAGCTTGCGTTGGGCTTCACTGGAACACTGCAGCAAGCCAGAGACAGAGATGTTGGCCACGAAGCAGGGTGGTGCATTGAAGTGGCAGGCAACAGGTAGTTCAGGGTCTTTTTTGCGAGCAGAACGTAGATGTTCTGCGAAGCGGTCGCCAAGTCTACGCTTTGTTTCCCCAATGTAGAGGAGACCACATTGTGAGCAGCGAATGCAGTAGACTAGATTCTGGGAAGTGCAGGTGAAGTGTTGCTTCACCTGGAAGGTATGTTTGGGCCCTTGGATACTGGGGAGGGAGGAGGTAAATGGGCAGGTGTTGCACCTTCGCTGGTTCAGGGGAAGGTGCCGTAGGGCTGTGGGGAGGTGCTGGAGGTGAAGGAAGTGTGGACCAGGGTGTCCTGAGGGAACGGTCCCTGCGGAAGGTGGACAAGGGAGAGGAGGGGAATATGTGACTGGTGGTGGCATCTTGCTGGAGATGGTGGAATTGGCGTCTGATGATCTTCTGGATGTGATGCTGGTGGGATGGTAGGTGAGGATAAGGGGAACCCTATCACTGTTGCAGGAAGGAAAAGAAGGGGTGAGGGCAGAAGTGTGGGAGATGGGCCGGACCTGGTTGGGACCCTGTTGACAACGGAGCTGGAGAATCCTCGGGTGAGGAAGAAGGTGGACATTTCGGAGGCTCCTTTGTCGAAGTTGGCCTCATCTGAACATATGTGACAGAGATGGAGGAACTGAGAGAATGGGATGGAGTCGTTACAGGAAGTGGGGTGTGAGGACGTATAGTCCAGGTAGCTGTGGGAGTCAGTGAGTTTGTAACGGATATTAGTGGCCAGTCTATCCCCAGAAATGGAAACAGAAATGTCGAGGAAGGGAAGGGAGGAGTCAGAGATAGACCAGGTGAAAGTGAGGGTGGGGTGGAAATTGGACACGAAATTGATGAAGTTTTCCAATTCCAGATGAGAGAGGGAAGCAGCATCGATGATATCTTCGATGTATCGGAGAAAGAGTTTTGGGTGGGGGCCGGAATAGGACTGGAACAAGGAATGTTCCATGTACCGCACTAAGAGACAGGCATAACTAGGGCCCATGCGGGTACCCATGGCAACCCCTCTTACCGGAAGAAAATGAGAGGAGTTGAAAGAGAAGTTGTTGAGGGTGAGGACAAGCTCGGCCAAGCGGAACAGGGTGGGGATGGTTCAGGTCTTTGCTCCAGGAAGAAGCGGAGAGCCCTAAGACCCTCCTGGTGGGGAATGGATGTGTAAAGGGATTGCACGTCCATGGTAAAGAGGAGGTGGCTGGAGCCGGTAAACTGGAAGCTTTGAAACCGGCGTAAGGTGTCAGATGAATCATGGATGTATATGGGTAGGGATTGGACCAGGGGGGAGAAGACTGAGTCAAGGTAGGAAGAGATGAGTTCTGTGGGGCATGAGCAGGCTGAACCAGTGGGTCTGCCTGGACAGTCCTGTTTGTGGATTTTTGGCAGGAGGTAGAAACGAGCTGTGTGGGGTTGGTGGACTATTAGCTTGGAAGCGGAAGAGGGGGAGATCGTAGTGGATACAATGGCCTGATGTGCCATGGTGTGGTCATGGTTCAGGGGAAGGTAGGAGGAGGTATCTGAGAGCTGGCGCTCAGCCTCTGCAAGGTAGAGGTCAGTACGCCAGACTACAACAGCACCACCCTCATCAGCAGGCTTG